CTGGTTCTTCTGCTGCTCCTTGCCTCAGTTTCCCCTTCTGTAATGGGACCTAAGAGCTACTGCATGTATGGAAACTTAGGATTGTTCCAGCTTTATAATAATAATAATAATAAAAAAATAAAGGGAAAGGGAAGGAAAAGGGAAAGCAAAGGTGTTGGCTGCTGCTCCCTCTAGCATGGCTTGTTGGCCTCTGATTTAAAGCAAAAAGGTGACAAAACATAGCAAATAAACCACTAACATACTTGGCTCTCAGCATTTGAGAGTATTACCCTAGATTCCAAAATCTCCCACTCCTGTCTCTCCTGAGTTTGTGGAGCAGTGACAGCTGAAGTCTGGGCCTGGCTTACATTTTTTTTTAATCTCAATACTGTATTAGGAGATTCCTTGCTCTTGCCACTCCCAAACTATCAACCCTTGCACTCCACTAGACAGAGAGGCTCTCACTCACCCAAGACGATAGCTAGCATCTGTGTAGCCTTTCTCTCCCGAAGCTGGATCAGCCGGGGCTGCTGGTGTGCCAGCTTCAAAGAGCTGATGGTTCTGCCATCACCGAGCCTCCGCACCTCCAGTCCTGGCTTCGTACTCTTCTCTTCCAGCCTGCTGTGTTGTGTTGTCCCTGGTGTCTTGGTGAGGGATGCCTCACGGCAGAAGCTGCAGTACCGCTGCAGGCTGAAGACAGTCAGCAACTTCCTTTTAGTGGACATCTCCTGGCCTGAGCATTTGAGTGGGAGACAGGGGGGAAAGGTGCTTTGGCATCTGTTCGGCAAAGCTTTTCTCTCCATGTGTTCCTGAAAAAGAAGATGCCACAGAGGAACTGGAAACCATGCACTGTTCACTGTGTCAAAGGATGATGAGGAGAGTTGTAGGAGTCATCCTTAGCCCCACTTTCTTCGTAGGTTTGCACCATAGCCTCTGGACTGACCTGGGTTTATCAGAGGGGTGAACCAGCACGGGACAGCTCTCTGCCTCCATCCCACCAAGGAGAAGCATGAGAACAAGAAGAGCCAGAACACCTGCTCTGCTAACCTTTCACTTGTATTTTTGCGTTGGCCCTGCTCCCCTCAACATCCCCACCCTTTTAAAATGTAGCTTCACTGTGAGGAAATGGGTAAAACAAGCGGATATGCGTGACAAGGTAATCCCTTTCAAACCATTGTGCCTGTTCCCATGGTTGCAGACATTTCATCTAGAAAGGTCAGTGGAACAAATGCTCCGTGCATCACGAGAATTCTGACCTCTTAAATCTGTCAGGTGAAGAGGGCTGGTTTTTTTTTTAAATAATCTAGGTTAAGCCTGTGAGGTTCTGAGAATGAAGCTTCATAAAGCAAAAAATCAGTAAATGAAGACATTAAAATCAATAAATGAAGAAATTAGCCAGAGTTCTGCAGGGCTGAGAAAGCCCTACTCTGAAGAGATATTGAAGTAGGCTGTGCTCTTTTCTAGTTGCCTGGTTCTAGAGGACAGAGATACACAGGGAGCATCCTCTTTCTAGAGGGCTGAAAAAAGATTTAACTGGAGCTTCTGCATCTCAAATATCATGATGTACGAGTGAGGGATGGGATGAAAACATGCCATGTCCCTTCTTTATGCTTTCTGTTCTACGCTTTGACCCTTTGAAGAGAAGAGATGATGCATGCCCTGTCCTTTTCGACAGCTCCTACTGCATTCATGTGGCTCTTACTTTGTGTGCATAACACGGTTTGGTGCTGGCGCTGTGGCTGCCCTGCCGGGTGAGGGTTCGCTTCTTTTGCCTTTCTCTTAGCACGAGGTAAATCCGGACATAGAGCAGCAGGGTCACCATGAAGGGGAGGTAGAAAGACACCAAAGAGGAGTAGATGATGAAACTGGGGTTGGATATGGAACAGACACTGGGATCCCCTGGGGAGGAGAAGAGAGAAAGAGAGAGAGGAGTGGCTGAGCTGCTTCAGTTTAGTGCAAGGAGGCTCTGGTGCATTGGCAAAGCAAGTCGAAAGCTGGTCAGGGGTCAAAGGCTGTCTAGGAGTGCAAGTATCTCATATCTCTGCTGTTGCAAATTGCAACAAAAGCATCTGCTTGCTTTTCTGCCCTCTCCTCTCATGCCTATTCCCATCCTTTCTCAGAGGATTCTTCCTCCTTTCACCCCTTCTCCTTTTCCTCTGAGCTGTCTGGATGCAGAGGTGTGCCTTCACCCCCATCCGTCTGGACCAGGCAGTGGGGGACAGCAGCACTTACCTCCCCCTGTCCCCTTCTCCCCTCAAGCACTGCATAGAGGTTGGATGGGGAGCAGAGGACGCCTGCCTGTGGCTCAGGAGGGAGGAAGGCTCCCCTCCGCCTCTGCCTCCAGGGAGAATGGGCTGCCCTAGATGAGGGGAAGGAGAAAGACCAACCTGCTTCCAAGGAGGAGGATAAACTGTTTGCTCTCCTTAAGGAAGAGAGCTTCCTCTAGGTGAGGAAGCATCCAGCCAGTTAGACGGGAAGGAGGTTTCTCACAAGCAGCACCAATATGCCATCCTTGCTGTTTAGAAATGTGTCCCGTACCAGATTTAAAACTGTGTGTCTAGACCTGTTTATAGTGGCAAGATGCAGTAAGTCTGATGTGTGCATGTGCTGGATGTGCTCCACGGCTGGACATTTGCTCTACATGTGCAGAGTGATTGGAGGGATCTGTAGACCTGGACACTTTGATGAGCATTGATTTGGCAGTAAAGCAGGCAGGTCTGTCCTCAGAGCGATAGTCAGTGTCTGTCTGAGCAAGTGGCAAGTTCAACAGACAAGAGTACATCACAGCACTGGTGATTTTTCTCACCCTTTGTGGTGTGCTTTCCAGTTCCTTAAAATTCCCTGTGACTTGGAAAGTCTGCAGGACCCCTGGACATGCACCAGGCAGCTCCATTTCCAACACCTCCCTGCGTGCTATTGTTCAGGATGTCACCTACCTGTGGTGTTGAAGCCGAAGAGAAGAGGGCACGACACTGCAAACGCCAGCATCCAGACTGTCACAATCATGAGAGAGACCCTCCTGCAGGAGCTCTGCCCAGTGCCGTACTGGTACTGAACTGGTTTCACCACTGCAGTGTATCTGTGGACCAAACCAGCTCCAGAAAGAGGAGAGGTAAGAATGGAGGGAGGAAGAGGACCGGGTTTTAAAAGGAGAAATGAAAGCCACATAGGGAACATGATGGTGAATGTGGTGAAGAAATGGAAGAGGAAAGGAGATCAGATCAGATGATGGGATCAGCAGTTTGTAGAAATGGTAAGTGGGGCGTTGCGGGGAGGAACAGAGGAAACCAGATTTAGTTGGCAGCACAGCAGAGAAACACTCTGCAGAACTGAAAGCATTGTGAAGCTACAAGATTTGGGATACCAGATGGATCTAGAAACCCCAGGAAACCCCCGTCCCTTAAGCCCCTAAGGTTATATGTTCACTGCTGGGAAAAAGCAGCCTCTGGAGCAACCACAGCCTGCTGCGCCTCAGCTGCCTGCCCTGGTGTCGGCCTCACTGAGAGCCAGAGGATTGCCCACGGGCAGGTGTCCAGGGCCTTTGGCTCCTGGGGTGCCCCAGGGGATGCAGCTCAGCAAGGCCAGGACTTGGAAGGCACAGGAGCCTTGTCTTTAGGATAGCCTGGGGGCTGCTCCTTACAGACAGAGACAAAATGAAACAGGGGTAAAGATTCCCATGGAGGAACACTGAACCAACCCAGCATCGAGACCTGCTTCATACAATTACCCTTTTCCCACATGCTACAAAGGTACAGCATGCAGTGTTTTTTCCTTCTCTCACTCCTCGGTCCTAACAGTACCATGTGTGCTGAGGTCTTGGCTCCCAGCCCTCAGCATTGCTCAAAATAGGCTCAGTTTTAAGATGCAGAAGAACAGGGCAAGGCTGAAGACTATACAGCAATAATCTTCACCCCGCCCCCTACGTATATGGCAGGATTTTGTTTATTAAAACTTCATGAGTGAAGTCTCCAGAAGGAGAAACCCTCTTTGAGGCTCAACAGGAATTAGATGACCAATTCTGGTTCCTGCCTTCAAATAGCGTGAAAATGTGGTTAACTATCTGCTGGTGATGTTTTATTGCTTGTGCATCTCTGCTCTTAAGTGCAGATATTTTCTAGCACATGGTGGGCAGAACCACATTAATAGCAGTAGTGGCAGTGACAGACTTGCAGGGAGGTTTGTGTTCCTGAACACCCCAATGCTGCCTGTGCAAACTCCACTTCCTTGTCCCTGCCACGCTGGCCTACAGAGCCAACCCATATCTCTGGACTATCCCCCTGGATGCTGTTGGCTCTCACCTGTCGATGCTGATAGCGCAGAGGTTTAAAATGCTGGCTGTGCACATCATTACATCCATGGTGACAAAGATATCACAACAGATGCGGCTGAAATTCCAGACTCCTCCGGTTACCTGCACGAGCAACCACAAAACTGTCAGCCTTGCTCTGCACTGAGTCCTGATAAATTACATAATAAGGAGTATTATATCCTGATAAGTTACATAATAAGGAGTACATATGATGGAGTTATAGCCTTGGTAGGTAAGGTAAGGGAAGAGCAACGGACATCATCTACCTGGACTTGTGTAAAGCCTTTGGCACTGTCCCACATGACATCCTTGTCTCTAACTTGGAGAGACATGGATTTGACAGAAGGATCACTCGGGGCATAAGGAATTGGCTGGATGATTGCACTCAGAGAGTTGTGGTCAATGGCTCAATGCCCTAGTGGACACTGTTGACAAGTGGCATTCCACAGGGATCAGTAGTGGAACCAGTTGTTTAACATCTTTGTGGGAGACATGGACAGTGGGATCGAGTGCACCCTCAACAACTTAGCCAATGACACCAAGCTGTGTGGCGCGGTCAGCACACTGGAGGGAAGGGATGCCACCCAGAGGGACCTTGACAGGCTAGAGAGAGGGGCCCATGCCAACCCCATGAAGCTCAACAAGTCCAAATGCAAGGTCCTGAATGTGGGTCAAGGCAATCCCAAGCACAAATACAGACTAGGAGGAGAATGGATTGAGAGCAGCCCTGAAGAGAAGGACTTGGGGGTGTTGGCTGATGAGAAGCTCAACCTAACCTGGCAATATTTGCTTGCAGCCCAGAAAGCCAACCGTGTCCTGGGCTGCATCAAAAGAAGCGTGACCAGCCAGTTGGGGGAGGGGATTCTCCCCCTCCCTTGTGAGACCCCACCTGGAGTACTGCATCCAGCTCTGGAGTCCTCGGCACAGGAAGGACATGGACCTGTTGGAGTGAGTCCAGAGGAGGGCCACAAAGATGCTCAGAGGGCTGGAGCACCTCCCATATAAGGACAGGCTGAGAGAACTGGGGTTGTTCAGCCTGGAGAAGAGAAGGCTCCAGGAGGACCTTATAGCAGCCTGCCAGTACCTGCAGGGGGCTACAGGAGAGATGGGGAGGCACTCTGTATCAGGGAGTGTAGTGAGAGGACGAGGGGTAACATTTTAAGCTGAAAGAGGGCAGATTTAGAATAGATATTAGGAAGAAATTTTTTAGTGTGAGGGTGGTGAGGAACAGGTTGCCCAGGGAAGCTGTGGATGCCCCATCCCTGGAGGGGTTCAAGGCCAGGCTGGATGAGGCTTTGAGCAACCTGGGCTAGTGGGAGGTGTCCCTGTCCATGGCAGGGGGGTTGGAACTTGAAGACCTTTAAGCTCCTTTCCAACCCAAAGCATTCCATCATTCTATCATTCTATAAGAAGGTGCTCTCCTCCAAGTATCTCAACAGCTAGACGAGTTCATGACCATGGTGATGTGCGGAGGGAAACTGAGGCACTTATGTTGTGCACAGGATAACACAGTGGTAGGTCACGGAGAAGGAGCCACACCTTGATTTCAATCCTTTAGTTACTCTTATAGGGGGAGGCAGGGTGAAGAAATAGACAGCAGCTATCCCTTCCCTAAAGGCCTACCATGATTAATTGATTTAAATTTGATATCACTGTGTATATCCTTTGATTAAGGATTATCTGAGAAAATCTAAGGGCTGAACGTGTTTCTCAGCTTAGCTGCTGGAGTTTTCTTGCAGGCAGTGAGCTGGAAAAATGCTGCGAATCTTATGCATTTATGTATGAAACAGAGACCCGAGACCTGAGGCTTCTCTAAAACCCTGTTTGGATTCTTATCTCAGATACAGCTTTTGATTATTAGATCTGAGTGAGAAGTCACAAGCTATTCAGATAAAGGGTTTTGGTTTGCTACCACGTTGAGCTTTTGTTATGGTTGTTCTGAATTGTTAATCTTAAGTGTGTAATTGTGAAAGCTTAGCTGTGGCCAATCTCTCTGATGGAGAAATGCATGCTTTGGCCCAGCCAACATGTTCTTGACAATGACCTTTTCAGTTGACAACAATATGCTCCAAGGACCGTATGGCACTGCTCTTCTCTGGGCTGGGATGAGACGAACAAGGAGACAGCTTGCCCTCCAACAGATAAGCTCATTGGAAGAGTCCAGCAAATCTAAGGCTATCCTGGCTGGAGAAGGGTGTGGTAGGAGAGAAGGAGGGAGGAAGGTCCTTGCTTGGAGAGAGCCTGGATTTTAGCCTTCAACCCCGTAGATACTGCTGGTTCAGCTGGATCCTTAGAAGCTATCCAGATCTGGCATTAGTTTCTGATCTCTCTGCCTGCATTTAGACCACATCTGGAGTACTGCATCTGGTTTTGAGGCCCTAGTACAGGAAAAACATTCATAAATGGGAGAGAGTCCACCGGAGGGCCACCAAGACATTCTCTGGGGGCTGGAGCACTTGTCCTGTGAGGAGCAGCTCAGGGAACAGGGATTGTTCAGCCTGGAGAAGAGCTGGCATTGGCAGGGACTAACAGCCATGCCCTCGTGCCTGGTAGGAGCTTATTAAGAAAGTTTGAGCCAGGTTACTGAGAAGATGGAGGCAGGGTTTTCACAGCAGTGTGTGGTGGGAGGAAAAGAGGCAACAGGCATAAGCTGAAAGTAGGAAGGTGCAAACTGGTCATGAAGGTAAACTTTCTGCCCGTGAGGACAGTGAGGCAGTGGAGCCAGGTACAGTGGAGCTGGTTGCTTGGTGAGTCCGTGCAGGCTCCATCCTTGGAGGTTTTCAAGACCCACTCAGAAATACCCATCCCAGATCAGGCTGGAGAAGGTGCCACAAGTAAGCTTGGCTTCTGAGGCAGTGGGTCAACCCTGCAGCAAGTGTCGGTGTCTAGGAAGGATGTGATTGCCTGCAGAGAGAAGCACTTGCATAAACACAGAATTCACTCTGTGGGAGTTGTTTCCAGAGTTGTTTAAGAAATAATCCAGAGAAATTTAAGTGGTTTTGATTGTGCCAGCATTCCCCGGCATGGACACCGCAACTCGCTGAGGTGAGCTGTGTCTTTAGGGCGTTCTCTGCTGGACCCAGCTGCTATGTGTCAGAAGTCAGGTACCAAATGAGGCAGTCTTCAGTTAGACCCCCTGACTCTAAATGAACACAGGGGAGGGAAATGGGAATTGTTTTGGAAAATGCAGCAGGGAACTGTGCTTTCATCTTTGCTTCTCTGATACTTTTGGGGCTCTTTTGTTTCCTTTTAAAAAAAGCAAGAAAAGGAAAAAAAAAAACCACCAAAAAACCAAACCCTTGGAGCTTTTCTGCACAATTAGGCAGGCTACAGGACATGCAAACTAAAGACTGTCCCTCTGAAATTAAGGACCTTAATAGGTAGGTTCAGCTCTCAGAGAAACCCCCACACTGTTTTTGCTTGAGTTATAGATTTTGAGATCTGCTTGACCACGTCTTTGCAGTGGCATCCAGTAAGGGGTGTTTCTGTAGTCTGCAGCAAAATGCAATGCAGTATCTGTGTGATCTGTGGAGTCTGAAGAACATTTCACCAGGAGCTGGTGCCAGGTGTTCGCATGAAAGCCAGCTGCCGCTAGCCCAGCAGATGTGCAAGCACTTAATGGAGGGAGTTTCCAAGGTCCTGAGCACATTCAAAACGCTAAGCCCACGAATGTGAACCATTAAAACTGAAGAACGTGGTGGTGGGAATGGCATTGAAGTGAACCCCCTCAGGATGATGCATTCAGATCACACCACCTGCATACCAAGCTGTAGCTTGTATTAAGAAGATGCTTGACAGATCAAAGCATTTGGACTTAAAACCCTTCCTCACTTCCACCAGCCACAACTTCTAAAATGGGGAGTAGCTCTGCTGAAGTTGGTGAAGTAGTTCATATTTACCTGTGGGGCATGTGAACCCATAATCAATTCCTGAATTTAATGATGAAGAAGAGCCTTTTTATTGTAGGCATAATTCATAAATTTTTAAAATTCTATTTCTGCTCTTTCTTTTATTGCTCTGTTCTGCTCATCTTTGCTGCCACAGCTAGAACTTGCTAGTGTGCATTTCTGGGTTTTATGTGCTGGCAGGGTACCTGTTCTTTATCCCTCTGGTGCCTTTTGTCCAGGAATCTCAAAGCACATCACAGGTATTAATTGAATGAATTCTCACAACTGCCTGTATGAGGTGGATGGTCAAATATGATCCTCTTACAGCTGAAGAGAGCAAACCACAGAGACATGAGCTGACACAATCTCTCATTACCACTCAGTGCGTGTGTGGCAGAAGTGGGAATAAGACTCCAGGATGAAATCCTGGCTCTGTCAAAGACAATGCTAAAACTCCCTTAAGACTATAGCCTAATGCTAAAGCTCCCTATCCCTATAGATTTTTCAGGTCAGGTTCTCACCTCATCTTTCTTGGTGACCAGTCTGCTTTATCCACAAAATTGCAGTATTATTATTTTTAACTTTCTAACCCTATAGGAAGTCTTCCAGTTGTTTTTTTTAAATCATTTTGCATTCATAAACTTATTCAAATCCATCACTCTCCTGATACCTTAAAAATAAACAAAACCATCTCCGTAAATCAGATACGTATGATGATGCCCTATGGGATGTATGAGGACAAAGTCATATCAGGTGATGCCAGGCATGTAAGTGGTGGTGCTTCTAAGCATGCTCATTAAGCACTTTGTGTTTAAGAAAGCATTCTTCTTAGGGGTGCTGTTAGCTCCCTGCAGCTGTGAAATAGCTGCTTATGTTTTTGCACGGCAGGAGTAACTAAGAGCATGCATGTGGTCAGGCTTGCTGACAAGTGGCAAACTGCTGAGCTGCAGTAACTCAGTTGTCTATCCCCACTTTGATGGTAGCCTGGCGAGCTCCTTGAGACCAAAGAGGTCTTGCTGCTCCGGTGTGAGAGCCACAGAAGAGGAGACAGCATTGCTCTTGCACGCTCTGAACAGAACTGCAGACTGGACCTCAGTGACAATCAACTTCTGAAGCTTTTTTCCCTTTGGAGGTAGAACCAGATGTTGTGAGAAGACTGAGAAGGATGCTCTAGGCCATGCTGCTACACGTCCTCCTTCATTTATACAATGACTAGAAGGCATGATGGTGTTTAATATTGTGATGGGTTTTCTGCCTTGGGAGAGCGACCACCTAGAGTGAGATGATCCGGAGCAAAAGAAATGTGGAACCAAAAAGGGACAATCTTCCAGAAGGTCCTCACCTATATAGTAGGCACGACATTTATGTTTTGGAACAGATTATTGTCCACTTTGGGTCTCAATCCTGAACCTAAGATCAAATCCTGGGCTAGTAACTGGGGCTGTGCTCCCTCCCAGCTCCTCCGGTCTGCAACCAGCCAGAGAAGCTGAAAGACCTTGGCAGCTACATAAACATCACTTTTTATCAGCTTTCTTCTGAGCACAAATCCAAAACACAGCCTCTTGCTAGCTATTATGAAGAAAGTTAACTCTGTCTCAGCTTAACCCAGGACCAATGCCATCAAACACCAATGGGCAGGATACTGTAATGCCACTGTCTTAGAAACCTTGGTGAGCTTCAGCAGTTGTGTCAGCCACAGCATCAGAGGTCAGTAAAGAACTGGGGTAGCAGTACTGGTATATTAAAACCTACCCGTTGACCTCAGAAGATTGCCAGACATAGTCCTGAATAGCACTTTTGTGCCAGGAACTTCATTACGTGGAGATGAGTATTTTGAGGTTATAAAATGTTCCTACTGTTGTTCTGTTACAGCCATCCCAAAAGACTTCTCAGAAAGAGACAGTTCTGGTCTGCATGATTGATAAAATTACAGATTTCATGGATAAGGTCCAGGTCACAGATGGCTCTAAAAGTTGAGTGTAAAGCACAAAGTTCACAAGGGACATTTAAATCTGAGGTATTCGCCCACCTTTAGCTTCTCCATAAATAATGGCCAGGTCTCAGATGTCTGGTTTGGCAAACATTCGGTAGATTAATAGGTACCATACATGGTTTTGGGGACTGAATGATTTCTTGGCAATTTCCAGGCCCATAGTGTACTGAAGCATGATGCCATTTCTGCTTCATTAGTAGCATCGCTGATCCATAAACAGCAGCAAATATCTAAACAGCTTTGGGGCTTTTTGGACTGTTTTTTAAATCTTAGTCTTGCTGGAGTCCTACAGCCTAGGAGATTCTGTGCAGTGCTGGGAGTGGTAGATTGAATTTGGGATGCATGTGGGTTCTTCTCCCTGTTGTTTGTGTGACTCTTGGACCAGGTACTTTGATTATCCAAGCTCCACAAATGGAGATGAATCTTGAATGGATCTACAAACACAAGCAGGGAACTGACCTATTGTTGTGCTCACAAATCGTGACCACAGTACTGCTGATTCACCGATGTGCCTCTGTCCCACCCTGTCCACAGCAAGAGCAAGTGCTAAGTCTTTTCCAATGCAAAGCATATTGTGATTTCATTAAAGATGGGAATGATGGACTATTCCCGTCTGAAATAAAATTTTACTTTTAGTAATATTTTTCAGTTGCAATCGACTTGCAGAGTCTAATTATGTCTTGCTGGGATGGCTTCCCACACACACACTTATTCCTTGCTTTTTAAGCATTTAATCTAACACAAGTGAGCTGTACACATCCTGCAGGCCAGCGCCAGGACTGTTCCACACAGACTAGTCTAAATGTTGCTACTGACTTCATTAGGAACATGATCACACATGCAGTATCATGGTACTCCACAGCGATGCTGTACATAAATAATTAACCATCAATGCCCTTATTAATAATGCTTATACACAGAGCAAACCCTTAATTTCTCTTAATTGTAGCCTTGTGGGCACAGTTTGGGAGAGTGGTTTGGATTGACACCAGGGAAATGTCTAGGCTGGGAGCCAAGGCTTAGAGCTGTGTTGCCTATGCAACATCTCACGGTGACAGAGGAGGGCTGTACGCCACTGCCAGTCCCCCGCTACTTGACCAAATCTCCTCGTACCCACGTAGCAGGTCTGACATTTGCCGGTGCTGTCCTGTCTTGTCCTACTTTCTGTTCACGCACTGTGCGGTCCATATGCACAAGTCAAAATCCCTCTCTGCTTCTGCTTCGTTTTGCGGGAAAGAGGTCAGCCAAAGGTGGGCAGCTGCCAACAGAATATTTACTCTACCCTTCAGCCTGATCCCAGCTTGCTCCTTACAAAAAGAGCAGGAGGCTTCATCGAGACCATGTCTCGGAGGCTTATTCTGTCTCTGTTAGCATGAGAACAGGGTACCAGGGCTCAGCTGAAAGCTTATGGCTGATAGATGTTCACTCTAATTTTTCTAGACCTACCAATTTTTGTGAATTTGTGTAAAAATGCTGAAGTGAACAAATAAAAAACGTCACACAGAATCACAGAATGTTAGAGATTGGAAGGGACCTCGAAAGATCATCTAGTCCAATCCCCCTGCCGGAGCAGGACACCTAGATCAGATCACACAGGAACGCATCCAGGCGGGCTTTGAATGTCTCCAGAGAAGGAGACTCCACAACCTCTCTGGGCAGCCTGTTCCAGGGCTCTGTCACCCTCACTGTGAAGAAGTTTTTTTCTCATATTCTTCATATTCATATTCAGTTGTAGCATACCTTCATGTATTTACTTTAATAAAAATATTTGTCCCAGGAATGGCTTCAGTAATTCAGAATTTTGCCACAGTGGGGAGTGGGGAATTTGGTTTCCATCTTTGCTGCCCTGTATCTGATGGTGTTGTCCATACTGTGCACGGTCATGCCAGTACATTTTTACACTGGACAACGTGCAAAGATCAAGGAAATGGAGAATAAGACCCTGAGGGCTTGATGACTCCTTTGAAGTTATTTTGAAAATCCTTGCATGACTTAAAGAGATTTTGGAGCATGTTCTTCAGCTTCATCTCTTTGTCAGCCTGCTTGGGGAATGTTGCTGGGAGCTGACCTAGCATCATGGACGTTAAGGCTCTTAAACTCTGCAGGAGATGAGGATTTGACTGCCCTTGCTTTTTTTGTGGCCAGCGGGAGCAGGGATTGATCTGGACTCTAAGATGAGTTCCTGTAAGGTATTTCCACCCAGTTGCCTCCACCACCATTCCTGAATCATCACAGTGCTCACTGGCAACCCTTCTGGCTGATGGAGTCAGCTTCAAGGATGCTCAGCTGAAAGTGGTATTAGCACATCAGAACCCACAATCTACATTACTGGCTGTGGCCCAGCTGCCATTCAAGCTTAAAGAGGCCGTGCTCTGCCAGGAAGAGCAAGGCTCAAGGTACCTGCTGCCAGGTGGGACTGTGGTACCTTTGTCCAGCATGTGTCCAGCCTATAAGGGCCACCTGTGTGACACCTGCTACCCACCCTACAAGTGTCCCAGAGCTAGCTGGGGGGTTAAAATGTGAATTGACTTTATCTGTACCAGAGCTGGCCTATCCTGAGCATGTGCACTAACACTGGTGAGCTTGTACTGTGCTTCAGTTCTGCTAATCTTCCCTAAGACGTACTCACCTCCAGGTACACCACCCATGGCATCACCAAAGTAGCCACCAGCAAGTCCGCCACCGCCAGGCTCACCACGAGGTAGTTTGTTGTGGTTTGCAAGGTGCGTTCCCTCAGCACGGCCAAGCAAACCAGCACATTCCCAAAGACGATGGCCAAAATCAGGATGCAGTAGCAGAGGGCGTAGTAGGCATGTGAGTGTGGCAGGCCAGGCTCTGTACTGTTATCTGCCCCACAGGGAATGGGGTCGGTGGTGTTAGGATGGCTGCTGGTTCTTGTGAAGAGTGCCATGGGCATGCTGCTGCAAAGACAAAGAGATGACTGAAAAATCACAGTAATGCTGGAGAACAGCGCCTTTTGTGGATGATGTATGACCTTCATGAATACTACTTCAAGCCAACTATAGAGGTCTTTTTTCTGCTGATATATAGGCAGAGCTTTGCTTAAAGCCTTGCTTGGCCTGTTTTGTTTTTCACTGAATCTAAACCAAGAGGAGAATGCAAGATCTCACCTCCCCTGTGCATGTGAGAGGTGCGTCTTACCCACCAATGCAGCTGTATGGAAAGTGGCAATGGTTTTAAGATGCACGAAAGGCACAGCACAGTACAAGTCAGGCGGGCAAGAGCACAGTGTGAAAGACAACAGTTGTGGTGCTAAGGAAGACCCAATGCAGTTACCCAAACCAGGGCTTCCCCAGAAGCTTAGACCTAGCATCTTTTCTTCTGGGAAGTACCCTCCTCCTTCCCTTGTCCAAAAATGTCTTCAATAACTTCACGCACCGGAGTGCTCGGCAGCCTGACAGAGAGATTGCACCTGCAATGCTCAAGTAGCCTCTTGAACCCTGGCTGCCTGGCAATAAGCACCACCTACTGAATGACTCTTTTCTGTGACAGGTTTCTGTCCCAGGCCTTCTGTTCAACTAACTCTCCACTTCAGGCCTGCCTGCCTTGCCAAAGCTTGACTGTCAGTGCTGCCCCCATTTCATCCATATTGTGCTCTGGGTTTTCCATGCCTTGGCCAGAAGATGTGCTTCTTATGCTGAAGAGCAAATCAACTTGTCATTTGGGATGAAATAATGGCAGGATGCTTGCAGGGTGCTCTGAATTTCTCTTTCTTACAATGGGTTTGTGATTGTGCTCAGGAATCTACCCTTTCCTGATTTAGAAGGAGGATGACTTTTTTTCCATGAATATGAAGGCTGCTGTCCCAGGGTTGTTCTGTGACATTTAATCACTTGTATCCTATTTTTTTCTTTCGTTTGCTAGTGCTCCCATTGCTGAACTCATCATCAGTGTGACAGGTACGAAAGTCAAAGACAAAACGTTGCATTGCCAATGGTATAAATATTAGTCCTTGTTTCACCTCGCCCCGTGAACAGCAGCATCTCTGATACACACAATTCTAGAAGAGTAGCTATATGATAAGTATAAATTGCTCAAGCCCCCTGCCCCTGGCATATATGTATCTTTAAAACGCGTGCCCCTTGCTCCTACTGGTTTGTAGCTGGGAGAGGACAAGGGCTGAATGAGATGGAAACTGAACTTCCCTCTCTCACGTGAACACAGATCCCTCAGGACAGGGCTGAAACAATTTCTTATGGCCTGTGTTCTGTTTGAAGGTGCCTGTGCTTGTCTTTCCTTCTCTATTTTCGGCCTGCCCTTGACAAAGAAGTTAAGCCTTCCACTGGGTCTGAAGGACTTCCTGTAGCATAAGCACTGTTGCCAAGTCCAGGACCATTCATAAAATAGTTCAGCTTCAGCCACCCAAAGACAGGACTCATTTTGCAGTGTCCCTTGCACTGACACAGCTTCTGCTCGGGGAAACCTGTTCTGTCTGGGGCCGTAAAAGGCTAGTTCTGTGGTACTGGAAAAAAACTACACCAACCAGCCGCCTGGCTTATAAGCAAAGCCATGCCAGGGAATGAACAAAACATCACACACGATATTACCAAAAGGCTTAAGACACTGCATTACACAGGTTACCTGCAGGTTTCCTGCCCTGCCTCTCATGCCCCTTACACCCTAAA